GACTAGATTTTATACTATTAAAAGAATGCCAATGATATTTGATGTTTTTACTCATAGTTTCATGCAGACAGTTCCAATGTATGTATCTTCATCATCAATGTAACAATCATTATTGAGTAAATGATTAAGAACTCATGTGTGGTGGAAACTCCACAAGTTATTTACAAGATGGAGACGTCGTATCCCTCCTAAGAATTATGAATAAATTAGAGCAATTGTAATATTTCTTCATTCATATAAGATGTGTTTAGACTTGACTTAATAATTTCTAATTTTAGATTTAGGTAACTAAGCCCTATTGCATTGTATCTATGAGTATTTTATGTACGTTTGTTAGATAATGTGTTATAATACTTTCAAATGATCAAGTCCTCACATGTTTTTCGAGTCATCTTAGGTCGTGGATCAAGTTAAGTCTTTTGTGATCCTTTATATTAAAATTTGCATGGAAATTACTTGCAACTCATTTTGAGACATCTCCAAACTATCGTTGCCGCCGAAGGCATCAAGTTTGAGCCTCTTTAGATACAATTCAAGTTAGATCCGATGCTATTGCTGGTGGAGGGATTCGTCTCTTCAAGGTTTTTACTAAACTCTTTAATATCATATAATACACTAAAATTTTACCCCATAACATAACTACTTCATAATAATTTAATGTTAATTATATTTTAAATTTAATAAAAATATCTATAATAGTTTAAAATTTATTAAGGAAATGAAAGTTTTAAACTTAAATATTTGCCATCTCTTAATTTTTAATTATGTCACCTATTTCCTTGAGTTCTGATTATACCAATGCTTGTATCTCTCTCTTTCACACTAAAAAAACATTAGACATCATCAACTAGCCTTTCCAAGTTTCCTTAAAACCTTCCATCTTATTGCTTCCAACTCATGCCTTATTTAATACAAATCAAAGATCACAATGCATCATACAATCTGACACAAAGATTATGAACAAATGACAGAAATTCCCAAAACTTTTCCAACACTTATCTTTAGAAAATCATTAAAAAAATTAAGCAATATACTGCAAATACCTACAACTGAAACACATGCAAGTATTGCCCAGTCATTCATGAGATAAATAAAGGCAGTGTATAGTCTTCTCTTGATTTCTCTCTATAGTATCCATAAAGCAGAAGTTGTGTGATCCCCAACACTGATCCAATACCATTTGGTATCTGAAATTTATATTTGAAATGAAGAATCAGTTCAATTGAAACACTCACAAGTAAATGAAGATTGCAATTTGTAGTCATGAGCATCAAACAAAATCCAATAGAAGTATAACAAAATAGGATTTTGTCAAATTCTTACATAAATGAAGAAGTCATGCAGCAACATGCCATAAGAAAAGAATGAAATGCTCGTAAGGAATGTTGCAAAAGAGAGATGAAACGGCATGAACTCCACGCTTTTCGTCTTTATCACCAAATTCTAGCATCAACATATCAAAATCAGATAAGATTTCATGACTTTCTGCAAAAATCAGATATAATAGTGGAGCAAAATTCAACTTTGATACATACTATGATGAATAAGGGTGAAGCAAACATGGAAATAAGCGAGCCAACATTGATATATCCAACGAAAATCTGCCGGTTTTGATGATCAAACAGCTCAAGGCTAAGAAAGATTATCAGACCAAAAATGGCAAAAACTCCAATCAGCATTCCACACATTTTAAGCTGCAGAAGAGAACATCAACATATCATTTATAGCTAAAACAAAACATGAGATTTAACAAACACTTCATGATCACTCTAACAAAACATTCATACTTTCTTAGCATTATCAGCAAATATTATAAAAATGCTGATATAAACCAGTTGGAAAATGGCTCCAATGGAGTTGACCGTTGCCACCAAGATCACGCCATAAGAAACAATAGGCAGTCCATACCAGATGCAGATTAAGCAGTTCAAAAGGGAATACAGGTAGGGAAGGCCTGAGAACTGCTCCGCCGATTTGTTTCTAACAATTCTTCTGAATGTTGGTCTGCAAATATAAATGAAAAAAAAAAAAATGAAACACAGAGCAGCTGAGTTTTAAGACTGAAAAAAAAAAAAATAAAAAAAAATTCATTTTTTTTTCAGAAACACAGAGCAGCTGAGTTTTAAGACTGAAAAAAGAGACGATTTTGAAAACAAACTTACATCGGAGACACAAAGAGCACAAAAGCAGACAGGTTTCCTGCAACCAAATATGCAGAACATAATCAGCCTTACGCATTGTACAAATCTCATGGCCAAAAAAGATGTCTTTTTTTTTGCAGAAAAGTGAAGAAATTAGAGCTGAAGCGAATGGGTGATGGAAGATAACATCTTTGTTCAGAAAAACACGACTAAATCCACAAATCTTCCCTTTTTTTTTTAAAGCAGAATCAAAATCACAGCTTAAATCGGCTTAAATCTGCAAGTGGTTTACCGGCAAGCCCAGCGGCAAGGGTGCATATGTCGTAGAAAGAGGAACCTGCTGACAAAGATGAAAGTGAAGCCATTTTTCCCTTCTGTAAGCTATCAAAACGCTTTATCTCCTTCTCCTTCTAATCATTCCCTTTGCTCGGCTGAACTTGTTTTTTCATTGGGGTTATTAATTATATACTTTTTATTTATTCCCAAAATTTTTAACCTTATTATACTATTTGATATATTAGAATACTACTTTGGCCAACTGGCGTTTTCTTTCGTATTCATTTTAAATGGGGGTTGTGATCTCTTTTGGGTGCAACGGTCACCCAATTCAATGTTATTTGGGCCCAATTAATTGAATTTTGGGCACTTACATACATACCATAATTTTTTATGTATATATATATCTGACACCAACAAATTCATATTTACATGCATACTACAAACCTTTAACATCACAACAATATTGTTATCATCACTATCTTCTTATACACTTTCCATACATATGTTTATACCACTGAACATTTTCTCACCACTCTTGGGTATATGCGGTGACAGTTTTCTAGCCGCGGTTTAACTTTAAAAAAAAATTAAAAAAAAATTATAACAGTCATCACAGCTTTTGGAACATCAGATCATTATCCAACAAATTCACATTTGTTTTTTAATAAGCTGCAGCTGCCCCAAACAGACTCT